ATGGAGTAAGATCTGAGTAGAAACATGAGTATGCTCTGCAGTTGCACCTTCATGGTGAATCTCTGCATCAGAAAGTGCTCTACTGACTATAGGATCTGTCCGGGGTTACACGGATTCACAGCAAAGTCCGAAAGTCAGGTCCTTCGTTGAAACCTGCTGAGGCGTTGTTTGGGGTAGAATACCGTGACTTGCTGTAGATCGCTGTCACTCCGCCATTTTGGTTTCAGAGCATGAACTACCTTATTTAAACACTTTAATCAATAATTCATTGCAAACGTGCCAAATTTCTTTTTTCACGAACTTGTACCATCGTTGCCCAAAGGAATAAATTTTGGTTTCAACAAAATAAAAAAGAATTCATATTACTAACGTAAATTTGTAATTTCGATCCTTTAGTCCTTGTGAATTTGTCAAGATCACTTGTCAATTTTTTTTCAAAACGTATTAAATATAAGGCCGTGAAGTCATTTAATTCACAACTAAAATGGTAGATGGTAGATAAATAATGAGGCTGACAATGTGACACCTCATCATACTACACCTTGACACTTGTTATTTGCTACGAAGAAGAGATGTTATGAGGTGTTAAAAATGCATTAATGAAACCAGCAACTTCGAGGCAGTACATGTGGCCTCCCACACCGCTTGGTCAAAAAAAAAAAAAAAAAAAAAAAAATTAAATTATAACCATTTTGTAGCATGGCATTGACAAATTCAATATTTTTTGAAGTCAATAACACGAATTTGTTAAAGGTGATGTGTGTTCATCAACGAATTTGAAGTCAATAACACGTGTCTAGTTTGACCATGACTTAAGCCAACATGCACTCAATTTCAAACTAACTATGTTTTTATTGAATATTGCAGTCTGGTGGCCCTGACTATGATATTCCTTTGGGAAGAAGAGATGCACTCAACTTTGCAACAAGAAATGAAACACTGGCTAACCTTCCTCCACCATCAAGCAACACAAGTGCACTTCTTACTTCCCTTGCAACCAAGAATTTCGACGCCACCGATGTAGTCGCGCTCTCTGGTGGCCACACCATTGGCCTTGGCCATTGCACTTCCTTCACCGACAGACTTTATCCAACACAAGACCCTACAATGGACCAGACCTTTGCCAATAACCTTAGAGTCATTTGTCCGGTCGCTAACTCTACTAACACTACTGTACTCGATATCCGAAGCCCGAACACATTCGATAATAGGTATTACGTTGATCTCATGAACCGACAAGGCCTTTTCACGTCAGATCAAGATCTGTACACAGATAGCAGGACTCGGAGCATTGTTACGAGCTTTGCTATTAATCAAACGTTGTTCTTCGAGAGGTTTGTGATATCCATGATAAAGATGTCGCAGTTGAATGTGACGACGGGGACGCAAGGTGAGATTCGTGCGAATTGCTCGGTTCGGAATTCTGATAATCTATCACTGTCTTCTATTGTGAAAGAGGAAAAGGGGAGCTGGTCTGCATTTTGAGGGTTGTTCTTGTTTACTTGTTGAAGTGCTCCTTTTAAGTGAAAAAAATTTCCAGTAATTTGCGTTTTGTTGTAATAAGATGAATGCTTTTTGGCAGAGATGGAGACTGAAACATCATGTTTTCACTGTGTAATATAAGTTATGTTACTACCTATTATGATATATTAAATAAAAGATGAGCACTCTTACCATCAATCATCGGTTCGTCCTCCTTTATCCTTCGACGATACCACATCCAATGAACAACTCTGCTACTTTTTGCAAATAAAAAAGACATACTAATTTAGTACATTTCGCTTCACCTTCAGAAAAGTCGAAAAGGAACTTACTTTTTATCATTTGCTGTGTGTAAGATTTAATAGAAATACCAAAAATATACATAAGAGATTTGTCAAGTACAATACAAAAAGGAAAAAAAAAATGAAAAATCTCTGCATTTTTGAAGAACTGAACTAGCTGTGACACATGCTAAGTGGAATAATGCAAAAGATATTGAACAAATTACTCCAAATACACTGAAACATTAGCACAAATTGACAGTAGTTCAAGCCTCAAATGACAAGAAAAATTCATTCCAGATCTACAATTCCAAAGTTGGAGAGGAGAATTTTAACTTGATCAACGAAGTCCGAACCTGTTGCATACTCTGTCAACATTCCCACAGCAAAACCAAACATTGCCCATCTGCTCAATCAATATTTTACACACAAAGCCAGATGAATCAAAACCAGACTATAGCTGAATCCGGTGAAAAATAACATGAATGCATTCATTCAAAGCCATGTTTGATATCATTGCACACAAATCGACAATATCTTTTTTTCCCTTCTTCTAAGCATGAATTCCCAAATGTCCTTTACATTAAGGCCTCGAAAGCATTTAGCTTAGGTGGTTCATTCTTCTGTCTGTTTCTCTTTGTTCTTTAAGATCTCAAGTTTGTTTCTCTGCTTACTTAAAGAAGAAACATAAAAAAAGGCTAGTTCTGTTTCTTCTCCAGGTTACTTCTGAAGGAGCATCTTATTGGTAAAAAAAATGAATTTCATTATCTATGTTACTATGTACGAAATAACACAAAACATTCAAAGGAAGTTTTTCATATTCATCTGGCAGATCGCTCAAACCTTTGACTGAGGAGAAGAGAACCATACCTTCATTCATAATTTAATCAGCACTATCTGTTGTATTCATATATTTTTATAAATTTTCAACAGGCGATGGAAACTTGTAGACACGCTCGAGAAATTGGTTGTGATGGACTTCTGTTCACTAAAAAGAATGTCAACTTTAGTAGAGCTTTTCCAGTGTCATCCCTTATGGTTTCTATGCCTTTTTAACGTGCTAGGTTTTGTTCATATGGTGTATTTACATTGTTACAGTATAGGAATTCAATTCAAAGAACCAGAATGTTAAGGGCAAGAGAGTACAACCTCACAAAAATAATTCCAAGATTCATCTAAGGGAAGAAGAAACAGGATGCAAGCATTAGCAAGTGCAAAGAGGCTTATTATGGAGCACGTAGAGCACCACTTCTGCAATTAGTTTAGGCTAGTTAAAGAGACTCAGACCAAAAAAACAACCTAAGCATGATTTCAATGAAGAATCAAATTTTGTATGGTATACAACTCTTCTTCTTCTTCTTCTTTTTTTTTTTTTAATTTGAAAGATTAAAGGGCAATGAGAATGATTGTGAAATCATCTCGAGATTAATTTTCTCATTAATCTTGTGAGTGTACAAGCAGACGATAGTATGCCCTCATTTATACCATGAAAGCTAGGTAGAATGAATTTCACATGATTGTAATTTGTAAGACACATGCATTTTCATCTAATTTTATTCGACAACACGGTCATGTTCATTAATTTGAAAACATTATTAGGTTCCGTACTTGACACTTTGACTGTGATTATTTTTAAACAGAGTTGATCAATGACCAATGACCAATTTGACATGTTTATTCTTAATACCACTGTCTCCCTCGCCCTTTGTCCAAGTCTTCTTTCATCCAAAAAACTGTCTTCAAATTCCTTCCCATAAAACTTCTCTATTTTAATGTCTTCCACTTTTACGCAGAAATAATCAAACAATCAAATAGAATTATAAAACTAAGAAGATTATAGAAAATGAGTTATACAGTTTTAGGAATGGTCTTGTCACCATAGGGAGAATGGCAAAGCATTGGAGACGAATGCTATTTAGTCCAATGGGGTTGCAACCTCAAACTAAGTGGCGTTGATGTAACATTAAATGATAAGTGTAATTAAATGACTCATTTAATTTTACATTTCATTCAACCTATCATCTAGCGCCATCTAAACTGGTGTTGCAACCCCAAATGAGTTACATAGCATTATTTGTGAAATGAGAGAGAGAATGGCATGTGTACCATTTGTCTAGGACTAGAAGCATTGTTTTAGTGAGTATCTTCCTATACATTCTTTTTAATAATTCTTATTATTAAAATTAGGGTGTGACCCGAATTTTATTTTGAAGATAATTGAGAATTTTAATTTAGAATTCTAATTAAAGTTGACTTAAGAAGAATTCTTTGTTGGAATGCTTTTGGATTCTTATTCGAAGTCTATTTAGCAAATTATAGTTGAAGTTCAATTTGGAAGTCCCATCAGTTGGAATTTGTGTTGGGTTAGAAGAGATCAAGATATGGATGAAAGAAAGAAGAACAACATAAAGGAGCAGGTTTCCGAGACCAGGTGCTGGGGTGCCACAAGGGTGTCACCTTGGTGCCACTTGTTCTGTTGTGTGTCGATTTTGTAGTCTCCTAATCCGAGTTTGGCGGAATTTTTGCATTATACTTCTTCTACAACACCAAGACTAGGGTTGGACACCCCCTATTTGATCCCTATTTATATTTAGCTCTTCATTGTATTTTAGATTAAGTTAGACAAATCATAAACATAAAATCATTGTATTATTTCTTCATATTTTAGTAAAATCTCTATTCATTTGCTAATTATTTTGTTATTGAGTTTGTGATCAATTACTTCATATTGTGTCATATTATTTTCTCGCATATTATCACAACAAATTGGTATCGGAGTCATACGGTATTTTCTTCGTTGTTTATAACACTTATTTTGAGGACTTAAGATGGGATCAAGTAGTCATGAAAAAGAAGCATATTGTTGATTAAGGTTCAAGAAAATTGTGTGCACTTAAGAGTTATCCTAATCAAAACACTGGATAGACAGAATGAAAAATTAAGGTATAATGTCACAAAATCAAGACATTTACAGATAATCAATTGACTGTACTCTCAAGCAAGAAATCGAAAGTAATAAACTGTTTAAAAGCTTTAATTGATGACAACCAATCGCCACAGTAGAGTCATTTTCACAGAGGCAAAATTTAAGGGAAGACGCAACCATTCTTGTGTGTTTATGATTCTACAAAGAAGTGTCTTCCCACCCATTCTGACATTACAAATAGAATTGAATAGAAATAGGCTTAGGACAATAGAATCATCCGAAGAACGGAAATAACTCTCCAGTTTTATATCTCTTTAATATGTTTGTTCATGATCATTGATCACCAATCTAACAACAAATTCACACAATCCCGAGTGTTTATTCAATATAGGCCTAATATTCACAGTCAATATACACATCAATAAGTATTAAATTCCTCATTGTATTGCATATAACCATTTACAATCAAGCCTCCATGATTTTCAAGTAGCAAACTAACATTGCTTGTGCAATTTAATTGAAGAATCAAAGCAGAATGATGTAACTATCCGACCATTTTCTAACCAGTCTAGGTTCCACTTAGCTAATACAGTAAATTCTTGTAGCCCAGAAACAACTAAGGAGTTGGGATCATTTGGCAATCAAGTCTGAGCAAAGGAGTTGGGGGTGAATAATATTCGTCTCAATTATCTTCAATTCATTATTCAATAACTGAATTTCTATCAAAATAAATCTTCAAATACAATCATATGGATATGGGTCCTAATCCAATTGCCCGAAATATGATCATGAAAATTGAAAGATAAGAAGAGAGAGAAGATTATTACCTGCCATTGGCGATTTCATTCTTGCCAATGAACCCAAAGAAAGGACCCTGATCAGCTTCTTCAAGCTTCTTCTTCTTGAAATACTCTTGCAGCTCCTTAGCCTTCTGTCTCTGAAACTCCAAAGTAATCACACCCTTATCCGCCACCCGCGCACTTGGAGCCGGCGTAGGCGTCGGAGGAGGAGGAGAAGCGACCGGAGATGTCGAAATTGGTGCGGATGGTGGTGGAGATGGTGGAACTGGCTTTACAGGTGGAGGAGCCACTGGTCTTCTAAAAGGGCCTTCAGCCTGAGAGTTCCTGATAGTAAAAATGGTGGTAGGATTGGTTGCAGAGAATCTAAAAGTGGATGATGAAGATGAACAAGGTGAAGACGAAGAAGACGACAATGGGTTGCGAAATTTGATGCACGGGAAAGAAGGTGATGATGCTACTGACATTTTTTCTACGTATAATTCTTTGTTTCTGGTTTTGTTGTGGACTTGACAATCTTGATAGGTGTATTTTGTATGGTTGAAGAGTGAATAAAAGATAGAGACGATTGGATAGTGCGTGTGTGTGTTTTTGTGGATAAGACATGACCGAGTTTGTGTGCGACGGTGGATAGTTTACAAGCCACATAAAGTAGGAAACTTTCACAAATTTCACAATGTTTTCTTTAGATGAACCGTCTCGTCAAAACTTTGAATCATTTAGGATCCATTCGATAGGATTTTTTAAAAACTTAAAAATTTATTTTTAAAATTAAAAAAACTATTTTTAAATATATTTAGATAATTTTTTGAAAATACTTTATCGAATTAAAATGGTCTTCAGAGAAAATTGATCTATTTGACTTTTGAAAAAGTCAAAAGCTTTTTATGAAAATAAGAAACTATTTTTATATATTTGGATAATTTTTTGAAAATATTTTATTTGATGAGAAGAACTTTTAGCATATGTTGACATAAGATAAGTTCCTCGAGAAGTTCTTCTATATAAAGTTGAAGCTGAAACCATGAATGAATTTTTATTAGTTTAAGATCTAATGCCTACCACATTTTTATTAACAGATAATGACGAGGCTTGATTTTAGAAAAATGTTAAATGTACATCAAAAGGCGTACATCAAAGTCTACATCCCCTCACATGGAGGTGTACACCGTGATGTACCACTAGCATGGCTATTGATTTTAAACCTTTCTCATCATGTTTAAGCACATAATCCAAATGTTTAGTCTTCATAGTCAAGGTTAAGGATTCTTGATAGAAGTACGGCAAAGGTACACCAGATAAACACGGGCAAGTTTTATTTGCAGCCCACATGACCAGCGTGAAAAAATAATTCAAGCGAAAACTTTAAAATACGAAATTTGGAATCCAACAAATTATGAAAAAATAAACTCATGAATTTTATTAATTGAAAAATGATTAAAAAAAGATGAATTAATCTTTTATTTATAAGGATTTATATGAAAACCTAGTTAAAACAAATTAAAATTGGAAATAATTCGAAATAAACTAGATGACAAAAATAGCACTAAAACTTAAAAAACAGTTTTCAAGCCCTAAACGAGCTCGGATTGCTGAAACATCGTATGTCACATCATAGTAGTGCGTTCTACTCATCTCGTCGTTCTCTTTACGAAATGGTATTATAGATCTAAATTGGAGTTCGACTGTCACACCTGCACTTTTGCCAATTTTCTTTTTCGATCTAATTCTTTTTCAATCCATTCAACCATTTTTCTACATGGGTCCCTTCCACCTTCGAAGAACTCGACCCTGAGTTATAATCGAGATTCATCATCTTCATGGAACTGATACAGGTCTGTCACGTTGAATGTATCAGAGATACCCATAGAAGCTGGCAAATCAATAATGTAGGTATTGTTGTTAATCCGCTTAAGTACTTTGAAAAACCCATACTTTCTCAATTTCAGCTTGTTGTAAGTACTAACAAGGAATCTCTCATTTCTCAGAAACACCATCATTGAGTCTCATTCTTGAAATTGTTTATCTCGTCGATGCAAATCTACTTCCTTATACCTTACATTAGTTTTCTCCAATTTTTGCTTTACTTCATCGTACACTGCTAGCACCTCTTTTGCCGGATGTTCAGCATTAACACTCTTACTATTTCCCCTGTGGAGCTTCACCAAATTTACAACATGGTAAGGAACCTTTTTATGCATAATAGCAAATGGGGATCTGCCTGTAACACTATGAACAACGCTGTTGTATGCAAACTCAACCTGAGGTAGTGTAAGATCCCATTGTTTGGGCTTATCTCCACAAACACTTTGAACCATATTTCGAAGGGTACGGTTAGTGACTTCGGTCTATCCATCAGTTTGAGGATGGGTAGTGCTGCTTTGATTCAAACTCGTCCAAAACAACTTCCACAATGTAATCCAAAAGTATCACACTAACTTTGTATTCCGATCAGATATGATAGACTTGAGAACTCCATACAATCGAACAACCTCTTTGAAAAAACAGTTTGGCAATATGTGATACATTTGAGGTCTTCTGACAAGTTATAAAGTGAGTCATCTTGGATAACCTGTCAACCACCACAAAAACAGAATCTACTCTTCGTTGAGTACGAGGCAATCCTAGAATGAAATCCATACAAAATCTTACAATATGCCCTAAGGGACCGAAAGTGGCATGTATAACCCGATATTTTGCACTTAACCCTTTTACACTTGACAAGTATAACATTTTTTTTTTATCATAACTCTAACATCTTACTTCAATTGTGGCTAATAATACATAGCTTTCGAACTGGCTATTGTATTGTCACATCCCAAGTGTCCACTTAGACCTTCGTCGTGCAGATTTCAAATCAACTTTTCATGTAGAGATGAAAAGAGAATGTAAAGTTGGTTGCCATTGAACAAATATCCATCACTGATATAGAAATTTGTCATTGCTTTACGATTTACACTCAAATCCAATAATTTCTTATGACGGTTCTCATACTAAGGGCATTTGTAAGTCTATTTGTACTTTTTGATTTATGTTTAATCATAGAAGGAAAATTTTATAGGAAAGTCACGCATTGAGCATGCGAATTTGCTGATATGTTTTCAATATGAATAAAGTTTAGGGCTTGATGATCAGTAAACAACACAAACTCATTCTGTACAAAGTAGTGTTCCCATTGCTTCAAAGCCTTTACAACTGCATAGAATTTCTGCTCATAAGTACTCCACTTCTATCTAGCATCACTCAACTTTTTTGAAAAGAAAGTCACGGGTATCTTCTCTTAGGAAAGGACGGCCCCAACACCTACACCACTAGCATCACACTTTACCTTAAAGATCTTCTCGAAACTTAACAAGGTGAATACTGGAATTGTGCACAACTTTTCCTTGATGAAGGCAAAACTCTTATCTTGCTCCTCTCCCCAACTGAATCTCTCATTCTTCAAGCATTCTATGAGTGCTACCACAAAAGTGCTAAAATTCCTGATAAGTTGCCTATAGAAAGTTGCCAAACCATTAAAATTTCTTACCTCATAAACTGATTTTAGTGTTGGCCTTCTCTTTGTCCACATGTAGACCCTCTTCACCAACCACACCAAAAAGTCATCGATCTTGAGGTTACCAAAGAACGAGAGAATGTTTGTTTTAATCAGATAATCATTAAAGGTGTTTCGATTTTGATGATTACATAATAGCATTTCGAACTCCTCCTTAGACTCCGATTCGCTTTCTTTTACTGCACGTCTCATACTATTTCCTCATCAAACTACAGGCTCAGCGATCAGTTCATTTTTGTTTGCCTATTGTTCATTCTGGCCATTGCTTCCAACACCACGTAGAAATAGCTGACGAGTCTTTTGATATGAGTAGCAAGATCGTCTAACCGTCGATTTGTTGCGTCCAAATTTGCCCTAGTAACTGGTACATCATTTATGTTTATGAATAAAAGATATGGAGATGGGAAAGCTAGTTGTGATATCACTTGACGTATCGCGAAAAAGGAATTCAGGCGAAAACCTTAAGAACACGAAATTTGGAATCCACCAAATTATGAAAAAAATAAACTCACAAATTTTATTAATTGAAAGATGATGATAAAAAACAAAAAAAAAAGATGAATTAACCCTTTATTTATAAGGATTTACATGAAAACCTAGTTAAAACAAACTAAAATTGCAAAGAATTCAAAATAATATAAATGACCAAAATAGTACTAAAACCTAAAAAGCAGTTTTCGAGTCCTAAACGAACTCAGATGGCCGAAACCATCGTATGTCATGGTATCATAGTAAGTTATACTTGTCTCGTTGTTTTATTTCCGAAATGGTGTTATGGACCCAAATCAGAGCTTGACTGCATCACCTACACTTTTGCCAATTTTACGTTTCAGTCCAATTTTTCTTCAATCCATGCAACCATTTGTTCTACATCATCACATCATTAAAGTGATGAAATGAACATGCATTTTCACTTAAATTCAAAGATATTACTATAACCCTCCTTTTACAATTTTCATTTCTACGGTGCTACGTCGCGATTACCAGAGATCAATTATGGTATAACTATGTTGGTCACAAATTATATTTTGAGTCACAGATTAATGAATTTTAAGGTCACGGGACCATATAGTTAGTCACATACACCCAAACACATGTCCCACAATTCCAGTACACCACCAATACTTGGTCACAGGTCACAGATCGATATAGTTGGTTACATACACCTAAACAACCGTTCCCCCACCTCAGTACACCACCAATACTTGGTCACTGATCGACCAAATACTTGGTCACAGACTTTCTTTGTCCCATTCGCCCGCCACCTCTGTCGCCATAACCACCCTACCAACAATAACACCAACAACAACCACCACCCAAACCGCCTGCACATCACCACCATCATCGTCACCCCGTCACAACCACCACCATAATAATAACAAAAAACAACCATCCCATTGCCGCCTACACCACCACCACCATCGTCGATGCCGCCACAACACCACCATAACCATCGTCACAACAATAACAAAAAAATGACTGCCACCACAGTTCCACCACACGGATCCCCACATACACATAGATCCACCACACGGATTCCACAACCACACACAGAGAAAATCCACCACACGCTGTGAACGGCAGCAGCGTCCCGTTCACAGCATCGTCCTGTTCACAGCAGATCGCTGCCTGCACCAACAAGTTGGAAACCTCAGCCACACCCACACCGCATCGAAGACATCCACCGCATCTAACCTCCACCGCACACACAGCATCGAAGACCTCCACCCTACATCACCACATTGAAGACCTCCACCCCACATCACTAAATCGAAAACCACCGCACACACAACACCGCAACACACACCCACAGCACCATCGCATGCCCACAGCAGCGTCGCGCTATCGTTCACAACGTCGGCAACACGTCGCTGCTGTGCATGGAAAGAGAGGAGGGGAAAGGGAAGAGAT